TGCTTGACTGCTAACCAAAACGTTAGTGGTTGGAATCTACTCAGAGGCTCCTTGGAAGAAGGACCTGGCAATCTACTTCTGAAAATCTGCCACTGAAAATCCTAGGGAGCATAGTTCTACTCTACACACATGGGGTCACCATGAGTTGGAATCAGCTCCTCGAAGGCAACTGGAAATGGCTTGAGAATAGACACCAGAAAGGCCTGAGAGTTACCAAGAGGTGAGTCTGGGTATTTGGGTGAGGCTGGGCTTTTTTCCCCTACTGACTGCAATGGGAGACCCATTTTTGCAGCCTGGACATGGAGTTAACACCATAAAGGTAGATGGAAGGACGGAATGACCTGCAGAGGCATGTCCTCCACACACTCTCAACCAGCAGACAGGAAACTGTTGGCCTGAAATGATCAGGTTCAAGCTGCTTCGATTAATGAAAATGGCAATGGCAACAGGCTTGGCACAGGCCACCGTGGAAAGCCATTCTGGGCTCTCAGCCACCCCCTCTATAAGCCCAACATAGAGAATGATGTCAGACTGAGGATCCTTGAGCAGGACAAGGGGGCAAAAGAAGGGGCAAAAAGATGTGCGGGAAAATGCTGCCTTTGTTTTGTTCTGTTTTTGAGAGAGTTAGAGACAAAATAAAAAAGAAAAAAAAGAAAGAAAGAAAAGAAAGTTTTCCAACATACATTATAATTCAACCTTGACTGGTGAGCTTGGACTTGGGCCAGGCTGGCATTAAGACCTCTGGAGAAGAAAGTAATTCAGCTTCTCCCAAAGCAATTTATTTCTGCATCACCTGATGGTCATAGCTGGGAAGTTTATCCATGTGTCTAACCTCAATGTCTCATGCTCCACTTGACGTTATTTCCTTTCTTTGAGGCATTATGAAAAAATAGAAAACAGCTGGCCTACATCCTCCTAAATAAGAATCCTTGAATAATTAAGACTCATTCTGGACTGGGCCAACTTTTATTCTCTTCTAGGCCACTCCTAGTCTTCTCTGCCTCCATCATGCCCAGGCTGGGTTTCCAAAATCCTGACACTCTCTGACAATACCTGCTGCAGTTTGTCAGCCTAGAAGTTAACGGAACACGAGATCAAAGAGGGAGCCTCAGAGGACCTCACTTTCCATCTCCCAGAGTCACACCCAATCCTTGGCCCCCTTCTAATTCCTAGCCTCTAGCACCTCTTCCCTCATCCTGACTCCCATCCCCTTGCAGTTGGAGCTGAGACATTCTTGGAAATATCTGACAAAGTGGTCCCCTTAAAAAAAAAAAAATTAAACTTTGTGAGGGTGGTGAGATTTAGCAAGTGATGAGAGAAGAAATCTCCAGCCAAGCCAGCTCTCACAGGCACACACACCTCCTACCCGCACTCTGAGAGCTAATCGCTTCCTCCTTCAGTGTGTCCAGAGCACTGTTTATAACTTGTTCACAACATGTTTTCAGTTTGATTTATACTATAATTATATGCCTGTATCTCTCTGTAATAGACAGTGAACAACATGAGGGCAAAGAATCATCTAATTCACTTCTGTCACTCCCTACAGTGCCTAGCATGGGGAATAGCACACACTGCAGCAGCAATAAATGTTTACTGAATTGAGAAAGAAAAGTGAGAGACCACAAAGTAGTAAAACTCAAGACCCAGTCTTCCTTGAAGCCATCCTGTTTCAGTAAGGAGTAAAAACAAAGACGTAAGAAGAGTCTCTCATCTCCCCAACTCACCTCACCTCTCAGAGTCTCAGAAGCACCCCCACCCCAATCACAGCCTTGACATCTATTAAGCTGAATGTGTGTGTGTTGGGGTGGGACATTTAAGCTTTCATCACTCCTCTGAACCATCACTGGGCAAAAACAATAAACTCTGGGCACCTGTGTTGTTAGAGTGCACTGTCTTAGCTTTCTAGGGCTGCTGTAACAAAATACCACCAAGTGCGTGGCTTTAAAGAACAGAAACATATTGTCTCCGTTTTGGAGGCTAGAAGTCCAAATCATGGGAGTACTGGCTGTAGAGGAAGGTCCCTGTCTCTTTCAGCTTGTAGCCTCTGCAGGCAATGTCTGGCCTTCCTGAGCTAGTACATGCATCTGCCTCCATCATCACATGGCATCTGTCCTTCCCCTCTGTGTGTCCATCTGTGCTCCCCTTTATGAAACATGTGCCGAAGGGATTAGGTTTAGGACCCACCCTACTCTGGTGTGGCCTCATTAACATAAAAAAAGGAAAACTTTATTTTCAAACAGGATCACATTTACAGGCACAGGCATTAGGGCTTCAACATGTATTTGGGGGGAAGGGAGATGGTACAATTTAATTCCAGGCACCATGGAATATATCTCCAGTAGATTGATACCTTACACATTCATCCAGAATACCTAGTTTGTGCCAGGCATGGGGATATTTACTGGGGAAAGAAAGAAAAAGAGATCCTCTCCTTGCCTTCAAGACACTCATTGTTGTACAATCCTCCCTTAACCAGGCTGTGTACTAGTAGCAAGACATCCTATTAAAAATACAGATACCTAGGTTGTACTTCAGACCTCCTAAATCAGAATCTCCTGGAATAGAGCTGGGACACTTATATCTTGTTAAATCCTCACAGGTTAACACTGATTCACGGGCAGGGCTGTAAGAGCCACTGATCTCCAGATCAGCATTGTCCAATACAATTCTCTGCAGTGATGGAAATGTACCCTATCTGCATTATCCAGTCAGTAGCCAATAGCCACATGTGGCTATTAAGCACATGAAATACGGCTAGTCACTGAGGAATTGAATTATTTTAAGTTTAAACAGCTGCGCATGGCTAGGGGCTACCGTATTGGACTGCCGAATTCTAGATGATCTCAAATCGTTTCAGTTTTGCTTTAGAATACTTCTCACAATACTGTTTCATAGCAGCTGATGTCTCCATTCCCTTTAGCTCAGGAGAAAACATGAGCTTCCTTTCCCTAAAGCCACTCCTGCCCTGAAGCAGCTGCTCTGGGATGAGCTGGGCGACAGGAGCCTATGAGGTGGGATTAAGTCCTACCAGTTAGCCTCCCAGAGGAGGCACCACCCCCTACCCTGGAGAAAAGGCTCTCCCTAGTACCCCATTTTTTTCAAGGTTGACATTGATGAGAGACAGGACAAGCAGTGCTCTTAGGAAAAGGTAGGCCCAGGACCCTTAATCAATTTCTCTCCAACAAGAGGCACCTAAGGAATTGGGAGCAAAAGCCCTACTAAAAGCAGAGTTGGCAGTGTTTCTGCCACACCCAGGCCTTCAAGGCATCATACTGGGCACAATATCCAAGTGCCTCTGTCCACTGCCCAACCCTACCTCTACCTCCTGTTCTCAAAATTCTCACCCCAACTCTAGGCTTTCATTCAGTTCCTGCTGTCCCCCTGGGACTCCATTCCATTCCTGAACTTATTGCCTCTACACTGCCTCCTCTGGCTAGCCCTTCATCCCTATCTGTGGGCTTCTACCTATTTTACACTCATAGTCTCTGTGTTCATTTGCCCTACTGGACTGCAAATTCTCAAAAGAATAGTCTACCATTCAAGATTTTTCACAAATTGGCACAACTAACCTTTCCAGCTTTCTCTCTCAACTAGGTCAATTTTAATCTACTTGCCATCCCTTGAACACATGACGTTCTTCTCTAAGCTCTCCAAAATTTTCCTAGTGTCTAAGGCCATCTAAAATGCCACCTCTTCCAGACAGCCTTCCTTGATCACCTCAGCTATACATATAAGGTAACAATGGCTTCTATCTCTTGGCAATTACCCTACAGTGCTTAATCTGGTGCTCAGCAAACAGGGTACTCACTCTTAGCTCTAGAGCACTGAAAGCAGAGAGGAAAAGCACGGGGATGAAGGGCTACAGAAGAGACTGTTACTAAAAATCTTGTTAATTTTGAAAGTTGGAAATGACTAACCCAGGAGACAGTCAGATCATGTGCTCTTCATTAGGTTGGTCTCAAAACCTGCTCTACTTCCAACTTGATTCACTTTCTTTTCCTTACCAAAGGGGGACCCTGACCGGCCATTCTACAGACATGAGAACTGAGTTAACTGGAAATACCAGGCACTCATCCACCACTACCTGCCCCCTACAGTACTCCGAGGGAGTTTCAGACAAACTACTGGACAGGCCCCTAACAGAGACCCTGCAGCTGCGGTAAGGTAATTAAAGGTCTGTTTACAGACACCTGCTGCCTAAGAATTCTTTGCAAATAGTGAAGAGCGGGGAAAATCTAAACAATCACCTCCTTCCCGGACATGAAGAAGGAAAAAGAAGTACCAAGACAAAAAAGTTTAGGAGCTTTTAATGCTTAGACTGAAAAATCACAGAGTGGGTTTTTCATGAAGTCATTGGTCCATCTCTGGCAGGGAAAGAACTGGCTCCTCACCCAGGCCATGGCCCTGATTCCCCCATGGCAAGGTCTTCAGGAGCAGAGGCTTCCCTCTTAGTGCACTGAAATGCCTTCCCCACCCAGAGGCAAGAAAGCAAGGAGAAGAGTATGCTCATTATGAGCATCCATGTGACAGGCATGATGCAAGGCACTTTCGAGTGTTATCTCAGTGACTCCACAAATTAGGAATGTCCATTTTACAGATGATGCTCCTGAGGCTCAGAGAGGTTAATCAACTTGTTCAATGCCTCACAGTGCACAAGTCTCAGAGCGAGGATACAAATCCAGGGCTGGGAGGCAGTGACTCTAAGTCCAGTGCCTTTTTACTTAGCCACATGGACTTGGTCCTCTGATCCAGCCTTAATCTCCCACAAGAAATTCACTCTTAACATCCATGCCCCATGCTTTGTCCTGGTTCCAGTAAGGAAGGGAGTCAGCTAAAGGCAGCTGTTCTATGAGGAAGGGTGGGGATCCTGGAAGGATCTTTTCTCTGAACAGCAAATATGACCTTAGAAGTCACTCTCAGCTGAATAGAGGCTCTCAAGGAAAGAGAGGTAGAGCAGTTTGCAGGTGCAGCAAAGCCCACCTTCTGCTGATTACAAGACAAAAGGAACAAGGATCAAAGGAACATAAAGGAAGCAAGAAGGTAAAGGAGCGGGAGCAGGAGTAGTGTCAAAACTGCCAAGGGAGGCTGGTGGACAGTTGAATAGATCAATGAACATGTCTCCCAGCAGCCAGGGAGCCCAGGAAGACCTTGCTGCTCCAAGCCAGGTGTGCAGTCATCTGCTTGCAGAGACTTGGGGACCTTGAATGTGTCCTATGCCTAGGCCTCAGGGCACTTATTCCATCAGCAGTGGAAGTAGCCCCAACTCATTTAGCTTCTCCTTGGCCACTGCCTCCCAGCCCCTGTTGGCTTGTGGGTTACGAGGTGAGGGATGTAGAAGCCCCTCCACCTGGACCTCTGGCATCAGGCCTGCCAGAGCTCGCCGTGCCCGCTGCTCCGCCAGCCGCCCCACTCCCACCACTAGCCGCACCCCCAGCAGCTGCACCTGCCGGCAGAGGGCCGCATCACAGATCCCAAGAAGCTGTTCTCGCTGCTTGGCAGGCAGTTCGGCAGGGGTGAGGTTACGTCCGCTGGGAGCCAGGAAGAGCAAAGGACATAGGTTGTGGACAAAGCAGTGATGGAAGAAGACCTCTGGTTTCCCACAGAGGTTCCGGAAAAAGCCCCAGAATCGGGCACCGCTCACCTCTGACTGTGGGCACTCCAGTCCCAGCACAGGTCGTTTAGGGTGCTCTTGGGGAGGGGGTAGCACAGGTCCCCCAATGCCCAGCCAGTCTCGGACCACACTCACCTCCCCAAAGGGCACCTGTGGGGAAAGAGAAACATGAGCTTTCCAAAGTGGAGACCTGACACCTGGGCTCTGGACCAAATGACACCTTTCTACCCTTCTTGAGGATACAGCCTGGATCCCCCCAGCTCCCCACCTAAAGGCCTGAGACCACAACCCTTGGCCCTGCGGTTTGATGCTGTCCATCCTTCCATTTTTCATTTCAGACTGTGGTCCAGAAGATTCTACTTGTTTGCCTCTACCTCCACTAACCACCACAACCAAGTGCAGAGAGAATGTTGGGGTATCTGGCCCTACTTGGGGCATAATGGACAGCACTGGGGATGGATAGGCAGCCTGAGACAGAAAGGTAGCCAGGGTTAAAGGAGGCACAAGGACAGCGCTGACCACTGCTCTCTGGGTGCCCTCCCAGCCCCAAGCCTCAGGCTGTCATTTCTATCGATCATCATCGATCATCTTTCATCACCCAGTTGGAGTCAATAAAAGCGATTGAGCCTCTTGCCCTGAAGCTTCTTCCCCTCCCCCTACCTGCCAAGCACCACCACTGAGGGGCAGTCACTCATCCTGGTCTGAAAGGAAAGCAGGCAGGTCCTGGAGCCCGGCTCCACTCTGAGCTTCACCTCAGCTAAGAAAACAGGACCCAGGATGCCTGAAAGCCCTGCATTTTTCCCACATGTAGCCCTGTCAACTAATCTCCTCTGAGGACCCAGTAATCCTGGTCCCTCTCCTGAGCCCAGCCCCAAGTCTAACTCCCCTCTAGGGAGAGGGGAGTTCCGGCAAGGTAAGGTATGGATGGGGTTGGGGCTGGCGGAAGGAAAGGCTCTCAGAGGCAATTAGTGGACAGTTCACAGGGGAAACGGAACCACCATTAATGTGCTTGGTTAACTACCGGCAGAGAGGCTGGGAGAGTGAGACCGCAGGAGCCAGTGTGTGCATTGGATGGGAATGGGGAGCAGAGGAAGAGGGCTCATACATGTCTACAGCCATGTACACAAATCTCTACAGTCCACCCAGCCAAATATCCCCATCTTGGGAGCCTCCCACTCCAGCGACCAGGGGAAGCCAGACTCTTTACCCCAGTCTGAGCCATGCCAAAGGGTCCTGGGTTCATGCCCAGGAAGAGCACTTTCTTTGGACCCTGGCAGTAGCGGGTCACGTAGCTGCGATGTGGCTCCCACGCATACTCCACAGGATTGTAGATGAGGCCCACAGGCTCTGAGAACTGCAACTGGTTCAGCTCGGCATTGAGTCGAAGCTCCTCCTCCAGGAAGCCCTCAGCTAGGCTTTGAGAGCAGAGCTGAGGCTCCATCAGGGTACCTGCAGGCTCACTGAGGAGTCCCAGAGGGAAAGCCTGGAGCATGGCCATGCCACTTTGACCTAAAATGACAATGGACAGAGGCCCCATCATCCCTCAGGCCCAGAGTAGGCGGGAGCTATGCTGGCCAGGGCTCCTACTACCATTTTTGGGGCTCAAAGGGGACCCTAAGAGACCATGGTAGTCATCCCCCAGCCTCCTGGCAGCAGTGGACTCACCTCTTCTTCCGTAATATAGGACCCTTCCCTTCCCCACTTCCAGTATCCAGGGCTTCCAACCAGTTCATTCCAGTTTGATCCCCTGCTGAGAATATGCATTTCCACCCTACCCTACACACACAGAATCAGAATTTACATTTTAATAAGATTCTCCAAAAAAACAAAACAAAACCACTGCCAAGTGGATTCCACCAGCTCATAGCAACCCCCATTGGGTTTCCTAGGCAGTAAATCTTTATAGAAGTAGATTGCCCAGTCTTCCTTCTGCAGAGTGGCTGGTGGGTTTGAACCACCAACCTTCTGGTAAGCAGTCAGATACCTTAGGCACTGTGCTACCAGAGCTCCTTAATAAGACCCTCAGATGATTCTTATATATAATTAACTGGGGATCTTGTTAAAATGTAGATTCTGATTCACTCTAACCAGGGTGGAAATGCAAATTCTCAGAAAGAACCTGAATGAACTGGTTCAAAGCCCTGCTTTTAACCACTCACACCATCTTGCCATAGTTGGTTAAATCATCCACCTTGCTAATTCTGCAACCCATGGTCCCCTCAATCCCAGCTAGCTTCTTTCTCACATTAAAGAATCACCAGTGGTGAGTAGAAGGAGCTCTGGTAGCATAGTGCCTAAGGCACTAGACTGCTAACCAGAAGGCTGGCAGTTCAAACCCACCAGCCACTCCTCGGAAGAAAGGTTGGGCATTCCTACTTCTGTAGTGATACTGCCTCGGAAATCCAAGGAGGGGTCACTATGAGTCGGGGCCGACTCGATGACAAATAACAACAACACAACAACAGTGGTGAGTAGAAAGATTACTGGATTCAGAATAGACTCTTACAAGCTACATGACCATAGCCAAGGGACTATTATCTCTCTGAGCCCCAAGTTTCCTCATCCAAATATTAAGAATAATTTCTACCTCATAATGGTGACATAAAGACAGAATGAGGTGTTGTGTGTACATGAGGGGAGGGGCAGTGTGTGTGAGCCAGTTTTGGAAGCTGTAATGGCCATTCCAACCTTCCTTCCCACCACGTGAGTACAAACCCAGTGCCCCAGCCTGACTATTCCACTCACACTTTCAAAATGCTTTTCTTATCCCAACACCTAATCCTCTGTACATACCACTTCTACAAACTCAACCAAATACATTCCTCAAATCCAGTCAACCAAGAATGTGACTGCCCAACCTCTCCACATATCCCAATCATATCCATCCTTCAAGATGCAGCTCATATCATCCCTTTGGCAAAGACCTCAGAACACTGTCATAACTTCCCAGACATCTTAGAAAACAAGTAGGGCTGGTGTAGGGCCTGGGAATCTGTATTTTAAACAAACTTCCCTCAGGCAATTCTGATGGTCCATGAAGACTGAGAACCACTGTGTATCACAGTTAGTGGCTTCTTCAGAATTCATACCCAATTAGACTTGGGAAGAATGCTCTGTTCTTCAGTTTCTCTCAGTACCTCCAGGGCCCTAGCCCTTATTACATACTCAACAAACACCTCCTCAGGTCTCTCAGTTCTTATTTTTAATTCCTGTTCAAAACTACCAACTACCTTCTACCAAGAAGTCTTACCTAGTATCTCCTCTCCATTTCTACCCAGTCCACTCCAGGCCGAGCTACCCATTTTGCACTCTGCTTGCTGTTCACAGACTTAGGCTTAGCTCTGAGTGTGCTTCCACTGAATCTGGGCCTCCCATATGGCAAGGACTGCAGTTTCTTCCTCCCTCTCAATCTCCTTCCTGGACCAAGAGTGACCTCTTCCCCCAGACCCATCTTATGCCAATCTGTTCTCTGACCCTAGCCTAGGGGATGTGGAAAAGTGGGGCCAAACTTTGAAAATCATTCCCCAGCCTCATCTCAGGGGAAGTCTTGTTGATCTGTCTAGATGGCTACTGAAAACCAGCTGGGGTCACACGAAAATTGAGGTGTCTGTAAAGAACTCATACACCTCTAGTGACCTCACTTTGCATCTCGCCAAGCGATGCCATTAGTGGATTGGTTGCTTCGACTCTGGGATGTTTCTCAAATCTTAAGTTAGGCCTATTCTCCTTGACTTTTAGAGACCTGTCTTGGAGACAGGTAGACAAGAGTGACAGAGCCTTATTTTCTGTGTTCCAGAATTTCAAGATCTGATCTGATAGCATAAGCCACGGGCTGAGAGCCAATCAACTTGAATTCTAGTCTCATCTTCATCTCTAATTAAGCAGGTTCTCTTGTGCAAGTCACTTAAGTCTCCCATGAAATGAAAACCACCAACCTACCATTGTTTACTCATCTATTTTTTTCAGTATTTGAGTCTTTACATGCCAGGTACTGTGGCAATCTCTTGGTGGGGAAGAAATCCAAAATTAATAAGATAAAGACCAGGCCTTCAGTAAGCTCATAAATGTGAGGCCAAACAACTAGCTGTTAATGTAGTGCGATTTGAACTTTAATGTCCGGAACAAAACACTCACTACGGGAGCCAAATAGAAATGGGAAATTCTAAAGTCACCAAGAGCCATGGATTTAAGAAAGGGAGGTACTTTACAAGTTACAGCATTATATCACATTAAGTGCAAAGGAAGGGAAGGGTGACTATGATTCCGCATACTTTCAGCAAAAATCTCTCACCACTCAAGAGTACAGAACAGCCAGACTCAGGACAGCTGAAAATAAAGTAGGAAAGTAATTTTTTTTTTCTAAAGTGCTAAAAGGTGCACTGAAGGACTGTTATGTGGGACAAATGTGAAATGGCACACGAGCACTAGAAAATGAACAAGCTTTCTCTCTAAAGAATTAAACTGGAGTGAAGACCGTGCTAAGGGGATTCAGGGCAGTCTTGATGGCAGAACAAAGGACAAAATGACCACTTCTGTGCAAGTGGTACAAACTCATACATAGAACATGCAGGTCTTTGGATTCATGAGAGCCAAAATGAGGGGGTCTGGAGATGTTTTTCAGGCGCTCTGGTGGAGCAGTAGTTAAAGCATTTGGCTGCCGAACAAAAAGTCTGCGGTTCAAACCCACCAGGCGCCATAAGTGGGGGAAAGATGAGGTGGTGGGCTTCCGTAAAGATTTACAGCCCTGGAAATCTTATGGGGCAGTTCCACTATCCCATATGGTCGCTATGAGTCAAAATCGACTCGATGCCAGTGGGTTTCGGAGATGTTTCCATGTGGAAACATAAACACCGTGTAGACTCAGCAGTAAGTCTGGCTACCTAGGTTCTCCGATACCAAATCCAGGAAGCGAAGAAAGAATACAAGGCATTCTCTGCACTCCCCTGTTCAGGGATCTTCACAGAACCACAAATCTTCAAGCCATTTTTACTAATAATATAATACAGCATGGGCTCAAAAAGACCCATCCCTCCTGGATCCAAGAAGGTCGAACGCTAAGGCACTACCCAAAACCTCTGCGTCCCCCCGCGGGCTCCGCCCGATGGGAAAGCCTTGATCTCGCAGGCCTCCCGGACAGCTCCGTGGGCTCGGCACTCCCTGAGCCGGAGCCAGTCCCAGTCAGAGCGAGAGGCCCCAAAAGAGACTTTTAGATTCTCCGCTCGCCTCCACCGGAGGACTCCTGCCAGCCCCCGACCGCCCCAGACACCCCAGCTTCCCAACCTCTATTTCCTCACCTCAACACACTCCCCATCCGGCTTCCGGTTCCTTTCCCCACCCTCAGGTGCGGAGGACGGTGGGAATCGTAGTCTACATTGGTTAGGGAAGGAGATTGGCGTAGCGCGGCCACTTCCGCCGGAAATAGTCAAATTCCCGGAAGGTGCGCTAAATTAGCAGTGGGTGACTCTGGGGGTTGTAGTTTATTGTTTGCATCAGAGCAAGATCAAGGGGTGTTGGCAGGTCAGAAGCCAGACTCTGTAAAGAACTCAGAAATCCTGGATTCTAACCCTAGAGAGCATCACTTTTCAGAAAGTATATTCACAAAGGGATTCTGAATCAGGGAGCATCAATCATCTCCATTCCTTCATCTATTTGAAAGGTGTTAATAATGGCTAAAGATCACTTCTGGCCCTCCTACTGCCCAAGTAAAGAGGAGGCCTCTCCTTTGTAGCCCTACAAGGGCCAATACTGTATATAAGACATCCATAGTGGCACTTCTGGCATCTCCTAACCACTCTGTAGCAAAGACTTTAAGACTCTGCCATCCTCCGTTACTGTCCAAGCCTCATCTCCACAGCTTTACCACTTGCCTTCTCTTTCTCCTCTGCTTTACTATCTGCCCAGTCCTATAACCTCCTATTTTTCCAAATCTTTCCCATTGAGTACCCTTCCCAGGAAGTCTTTTCTGACCAACTGTAACCCTACGGCTATACCCCACAGTATTTTCCCCACCTCCCCGTCCCCATACCAATGTCCAAACTTGTGCTGCTACTTCTGCCCTTTCCCTGCATCAGCATCTGCGTTTGTATGGTGACTGTAAGACTTCATTAGATTTGAAATCCCCTAAGGCCAGTTATCTTCTAGATTCCTTCAACCCTCATACCCTGCACACACACTTCAGCATAGCCAGGATTCTGATCACAAATGCAAAATCTCCCTCCAGGTGGTATGAAAAAGACCAATGAACTCCAGAACAGGAAAAAGTGAGGTAGCACGGAGGCAACACCCTTTCCAAGTCTCCCCTAGTCTCTTACCAACAGACAAAAATTTAATGGGTGCAGCAGGAGCTTTAGAGAGCTCTGACACCCCCTTACCCTTGCCAAACTGTGGAGATGGAATTAATCATCCACCACACAAAGCCTTTTATTTCCTGAGCTTTAACTTGTACCAGATTCTCTCCCGCTTTCTGTCTTTGATTCTCTCTCAATCTGTGCAAATGTATCTCTATCTCTCTAAGTCTCTTCTATAGCTTTTTTTCTGTATCCTTCATGTACATCTCACTGTCTCTGCTCCATTTTCTGGAATAACTGAAATGAGAATATCCTAAGCTTCTAGGAGGTGGCAAATTTACATTAATGGGGTAGGAAAAACTTGGAAAAGGAGGGTGAGGTTGGTTGCACAACTCCAAGAATTTAATTACTGTCACTGAATTGTACATGGAGAAATCATTGAATTGGTATATGTTCTGATGTGTACAGTGTATATTCTCAACAACAACAAAAATAAAGAAAGAATATCCTAAGCTTCTAGAGTGTAAGAAACCTATCGCAGATTTTCCCAATCTCTGTGTATCTATTTCCCCTATCTCTGTGTGTCTCGTCACAAAAAATGGGGGGCAGGGGAGGGAACACCACTGTGGTGTAATTTTATTGCTTAAGAATTCTGGAGGCTCACCATCCCTTGGGCAAGCTTGCCTGACCACCTTACCCCTAAGCCACTTTCTTGTCACTTCCAGTTTATTATCTTGGCAGACCCTCCACACTCCCAGTCTGCCTCCAACTGAAAGTTTCAGACAGGACACTAACGAATGGCAGGTGAGTAGAGATCTCTCTGCATGCCTCCTCCCAATTACTTCCTGAAAGTATTGGATAAATGTTTCTTTCCATATAAGCCCCAGGAAGTCCACAGCTAGGTAGTCTAGCCGGAAGAAACTGAGGCTTAGGCAGCCCACAGTGAGTTCCTATAGTGACTCCAGAAGGATAAGGGGGCCTTCTCTGCCTCTAGTCCATGCTGCTTCTCCCCACCTGGTGAGTCCCTCTCAGGGAAGATGGGAGTGAGGAGCTCTCCTCAAAGGGGAGTGGGGGTGCTTAGAAACAGAGACCCAGAGACTTTCAAGAGATAGAGCCTGCGAGATGAAACATAGGGTGGAGGCTTCCTAATCTGCCTTGTCCCTTTCTTAGTCTCCTGGCATTTTAGAAGGTTTTCAAAGGTTTAGCTAACAGATTTATAGAGAGAACCTGTGGACGCAGGGGCAGAAGCAAATCCACGCTGTGGCTTGGTTGAGGGCCTAGAGGATTGGCCAGGGATCGGCTCTCAGCAGCCCATCAACCTGCTCCTAGAGCAGAATCCAGACGAGAAGGGGTTAACCTGCTCCTCTTGTTTTCCTTTGGTCTCCAAGGGCTGCCTGAGCTGTGTTGGGCCACGAGCGCCATCTATTGGCTTAAGGAGGTCCTAGCTCTGGCTCCAAGCACTCAGGCTAGGCAGGTCATTCTGCACTTCCCCGGTCTCCCTAGCTCCCGCAATAGGGAGGGAGAATTGTCTTGCTGCAGCACTTCCAGCTGCAGAAAATGGGATTAGGGGTTGGAGTTGAGGACACGCTTCCTTCTCCTCAGGTACCCTGTCAGCTCCCACCATTTATGGCTTAGGGAACCTCAAGAGGATTCTGGTGCAGCCACCTCCCCCAGCTCCACACCACCAGACAGCTGTTCTCCATCAGTCCAACAAACATGAAAAGAACACTGTTGTGGGTGGGGGGAGAATTAGAGAGGGCAGGGGACAAAGCAGAGACTTAGAGAGTGTGGGCTCTGGAATCAGACTCCGTGGATTTGAATCCCAGCTCTGCCATGTACTAGTGTTTGACCTTGGACAAGTTACTTAACATCTCTGTGCCTCAGTGAGTCAGTTGTAAAATGGGATAATCACTGTAACCTATGTCTTCTTCAGTGATAATTAAATGATTTAATACATAAAATGCCTAGTACGATGTCTAGCACAGATGTCATGTCCTATAACTGTTAATTGTTATTGCAACCATGGGCCAGGGTCTCAGGCAGGTGCTGGATCTCAGGGCCCAAGATCCAGGCCATAGACAAACAAGCACAGAGGGATAAGATCGGGCAATTCATTCCTAAAGTTTTCAACAAAGACAGTCACTCACATGGGCTAGGCTTGGGGGCTAGAAGTTCAAGATCACAAGGAAAGTTCTTTTTCTCCGTCTCCAAAGTCAGCAGGAGATGAGATGAGGGGGTCAGAGAAGGAAAGCTTGAGATAAAGATGTAGGCAGGAAAGGTGTGAGGTGAGGAAGAGACACAGGCCCTGAAAAGGGACTAGATTTAGGGGAAAAGAAGGGTTCCATGATGTGTAGGGTAAGCAAGGGCAACTGCACCCCAAGGACATGCCCTCCTAGGGACTGACATAAATCTTGTTAGTTCAGACTCCCAAGCCTCCAGAGATATATCACAGCCCCACTCCAGCTCGATGGAGCAGGGCTTAAAACAGGTTCATTACCATTCCACCACCTGCTGATAATTTGCATTTCTAGCCTAGACATACTGAATTAGAATCTACATTTTAACAAGATCCTCAGGTCATTCCTATGTATACATAAGAATGAGGTATTATTGGATTCCCTAGAGCTCTAGTGGTGTAATTAAGGCATTTGGCTGCTGACCAAATGGTCGGTGGTTCAAACCCACCAGCAGCTCCCTAGAAGAAAGATGAGGCAGTCTGCTTCCATAAAGATTTACAGCCTTGGAAACCCTATGAGGGTCAAAATGAGTTAGAATCAACTTGATAGCAGTGAGTTTGGGTGTTAGTGTTTGTTTTTTTTTTTTTTTTTTTTCTTTTTTTGAGGCTGGGGCCAGCCAGGCCTGGGATGGGCTCTCAGCCAGCCATCAGCCTCTAACTAGGGCCAATCCCAAGCAAGAAAGGGTTAACCTGCTCCTCTGGTTTTCCTTTAGTCTCCTTAGGCTGCCTAAGTATGTTGGGCCTGTGATCAATAAGATCTATAAGAAACACCCGGGGATCTTATTAAAATGTAGATTCTGATTCAGTATATCTGGGTGGAAAGGCAAGGTCTCAGCAGGAGGTCAAATGAAAATGAACCGGTTCAAAGCCCTGCTGTGGAGACCTAACCCTCAGTGTCTTCCTCACACAATGAAGGCAGCTATCTATGGGTCCTACAGTTCCCTTCTCCAACTCCTCCCAGAATTGGCGAACCAGTTGAGAATTCACCCATTTGTTTTTTACCAGCCTCAGTCATCTTCCTGTTTCTGTATCTCTGTCTCCTCTGTCTTGGTGGGGAATGGGTCCATAAGATTCTCCTTCAAGGCATGAGGTTAGGAGAGGAATAAAATCCTCTCAATTAAGACAGAAATGCACAGCCAGTAGGGTCCCTGTCTCACCTACTGTCCCTGCCACCAGACCTAAGGCAGCACAGCCTAGCTCTATGGACTGATGGCCACTTAACTAGAGCTCCCAAACCTCCTCAGCTCAGGTGGCCTTCCTCTCTTTGGGGCCTGGACACTTGGGTCCCCAGGAGAGGAGGGGAGACAGGCTGGATAGGCTGATTTGCATCACTTACTTGGGAAGCAATTATCGAAGGAGCTGTCAGCTCAGCGCAGCTTTCTCCTCACGCTAATCGGATTTTGCCAGAGCCTGGGGCTGGTGGGGGGGTGAGTAATTTGGCTTGATGCAGTGGTGGGAAATGTCGGGGCCAGGAGGCTGGACAATCTGTCTGAGTGGTGTTGGAGTTGTCCAGAGCAATTATCCTGAGGGGACCACACAGACATCAGATGGACATCCAGCCAAGGGGACTGGAGTGATCCCCAAGTCCTGCACCAAGAAGGATGAAAGTTAGACTTTTGGCAAAGTGGGAGGAGCATTTCCCACAGGTTGGGCCAAATTAAGAAAAAGGAGGCAAGATGAGGCTGGGAAAGGGACCACCAAGCAGCCACATGGGAAAGAGACCCAAGAATTCCAGCCTCCAGGCTATAGAACACCTATGCCCTTGCCTTGCCCTGCCACGCCCTGCCTACCTCCAACTCCCCTCTAGC